CTGAAAGGAAAGTCTGGAGCATGCTTGACATATTGAAGAACTAACGTTGAACCATTATTTGTTTTCAAACAAACTGTGCCAACACCAAAAACCTTAACTTCACTGGCATTGCCCATTTTTAACACTCTAGAATCAACAGGAATATAAGATGAGAAAAAGTCTTTTCTTGGTGTGACATGTGAGGTAGCTCCAGAATCTACCAGCTCGTCTCATGTGATACCAAATTGATGACATTTTCATCATAAGAAAAAGAAGGTCATCTCGAACAATAGCAACAACATTGTTCTCGTTATTTTCAGCTTTCTTTCCTTCTCTAGTGTCTTGATTCAATTTGCGGCAAAACCTTTTGATGTGTCCTTTTTTTTTGCCACAGTGGTTGCATATAATATTATAGTATTTGAACCTTGACTTACTTCTACTTTTACCTCTATTCCTTGAGCCTTGTGTTCTATCTCTCCCCCTGTCTTCAGTAACCAAGATATCTGCTTGTGAGGACGAACCCTGAGATTTTCTCCTTACTTCCTTGTTCAACACATCACTCTTGGCATATTCCATGGTCACTTTACCTCCAAGAGCTGAATTTGTCAAAGAAACACGAAGAGTTTCCCAAGAGTCTGGCAGAGTATTAAGAAGCCAAAGTCCTTGTATCTCATCATCAAAATTAACTCCCATTCTAGATAGCTGATCAAGGACGCCCTAAAAATCATTTATATGATCAAGGATAGGGCTGCCTTCCTTGTATTTAAAGGTCATCAATTGCTTTAGCAGAAACAATTTGTTGTTCCCAGTTTTTGAAGCATAAAGAGTCTCTAGATTTTCCCACAATGATCTCGCATGTATCTCGTTCACAATATGGTTGCGAACATTATCTTCAACCCATTGTCGTATATATCCACATACTTGTTGGTGCTCGAAATCCCAATCTTCATCGGATATACTCTCGGGTTTATGAGCTGAAAAAACGGGTAGATGCATCTTCTTCACGAACAACAAGTCTTTCATCTTGCTTCTCCAAACATTATAATTTCTCCCATTTAAACATACCATCTTGCTCATATTCGCCTCCATTCTGTAACAACCCGGATAAATAACCAAGGCTCTGATACCACTTGTTAGGACCGAAATAATCAGGTGTTATGCGGAAGCTAGCAAAGCAGACTTGAACGACAATAAGTTCGACAATAAAAGAGAAATCTACCAAAAGAGACACAAACATTTAACGTGGTTCGGTCAACTGACCTACGTCCACCGCGGAGATGCGAAATCCACTATATAAAAAGAGAGTACAAAATATCGAGAGAAAAACTTCACGAAGAGGCAAACACAAGCGACACACTAAAAGTTGTCCCGTAAAGTTCTCCCCCTAAACACTACTCTCAAACCCCTATGTCTACATTGTGGATGCTACTGAATGAGAAGGACGGATCTTCAATTTATAGAACTCCAAACCTTTTCCTACAAGAAAAAGGACTAGCCAAGTATAGGAGAATTATAATTTTCTTCTACAAAAAGGAAAATCCAATTAAGGTAATTATATTGCACTTTCCTTCAACAAATAGGAAAACCAAATATGGTAAGAAAATTATGGCAAAGACCTAAGAGATACTAGAGGCGCAAACTCATCCTCGACGCCCACTATTCGACCAGTAATAGACTAGGACAACGTCTCCCAAATGAAGGTTGATTTTAGGAATTATTATCAAATGTAAGGTAGGTACATAAAGATACACACACAGAGAACATATTTTCAATACAATGCATTTTTACTTATATATGTGGTTCGGGTTGAAAGCAGGTATCTGTTTCCAAGGATTAGATTTTCATGCAATTGAATTATTCATAAGGAGTTCTTTTTCCTAATTTGTGATGTAATGCATGTAGAAAAAAAGTATAATGCTTGTACTATAGTCACAAAAAATTAAATTAGGATGTGTTATTACCTGAGTAGTAACAACTAGAATCCAACCAGCCACGAAGGAGATGTTCCTGAGATAGAATGCCTTAATAATAGTCACAATTGAAACAGCATATGCTGTCCCAGAACCACAATTTGCAAATATCGAAATCAATACATGTTCTTTCATATAAAATGGTCCTGGATTAAACGAAAACTCCCATGATCCTATCTTAAATTTCCTCGTAGGCAACACTCTAGCCATGATCTTGCCGAGTGGCAATGCTGCTATCTGGACAGTTATCATACTAATGCTAAGTGGCTGTGTCCGATAACTGAAGAAAGTGTTGAGAAATGCCAGAATTCCACACGACAGGATTCCGAGGAACCACATCCGAAATGTCCATACCGGTAGACTAGGGTCGTCCTCATTTGATACTGTCAACCTTGTCGAGATATAATATAATTAAACAATTAGAAGTGTCCAAACACAATAATATACGTAGTTTAAAGGCCAACTTTTAGATTAGATAGCGATACAATTCAACATACCTGACTTCTTCTATCGGGGATTCTTCATCTTCAGGAATTTCTTCTTCAAATTCCTTTTCTGTTCTGTTTTTCTCTGACATGTCCAACTCCATGGATTGGGTGACAATAGAATGATGTTAGAGGCAAAAGGAAAGAGAACCGTTAACTTTTAAACTGCTGCTAATTAGTTTTCTATTTATTTTTTATTTTTTTGGTTTTTGGGAGATTGTATTTACAAAGGAGATGAAGATTTCCCTGGTGTAAGGAAACTTTCCGATTTGAATTATTCTAATGTGTTAATGAATGGTTCATTAAATAAACTGCATGGATGATTATCTCATATGTTAATTTCTACCAACGTAACACATGAACTTGGAAAACCTCTCTGTATTTTCAACTTAGAAATTTTTACCATCACCCCTCCAACCCCCTCACACAATATATATATATCGTGAATTTACGAAGATTTTGATTGTGCTGCAATTCTCTGATTTTTTTTTTCGTTTTGCCTTTTTGAGGGGTTGGGTGGGGGTTGGGTGGGGGTTGGGTGGGGGTTGGGTGGGGGTTGGGTGGGGGTTGGGTGGGGGTTGGGTGGGGGTTGGGTGGGGGTTGGGTGGGGGTTGGGTGGGGGTTGGGTGGGGGTGGGGTGGGGGAGATTGAAAAGGTTTAACGAAAATATAGTTGTGATTGTCAATATATAGGGTTATAGTGTAAACATAAAGCAAAATCACTATTTACGCGAAAATAGTGAGATCACGTACGAAAGAGAGAAAAAAAGGAAAAATTAGTTGTGCAGATTGAGAGATCAAGAAAATTTTCTATGGTGAAATACAAAATAATACTCCATTGATTAGGTACTACTGAATTAGTGGCTGACATAGAATATGTTTGTGTATTTTGTTAGTGCATGTAGCAATGGTTGTATTCAAAATTCATATAAAAAATGTAGAGTTCCAAGATTATGGGAAAAATGGAAAAAGAGAAAGCAGGAAAAGAATGAAAAAAAGAAACAGGGGAAAAGAGGAAAAGACTTTAAAAAAATAAATAAAGATAAGATGTATGCTTGTTTGGGATCGCCAATAAATTAAAACGAAATAGAGATAGAGCGATGTACATCAAGGTTGATTTAAAATTTAAACTTTATGTGTGAAGTATAATATTCTAGCACATTTCAATTGATTAACTAGTTTTGAAACTAATTATTTATATTTACTGAGTGAATTTTTTAAGACATTTAGTCATGACAAAGCTATCCATATTGCCCTCAACCTTCATCCCTTATAAATATTGTAATAGTAAGAATCTACACTTATAAATTATAATCTCCATCAAGGACAGCCCGGTGCACTAAGGTCCTGCTATGTGCGGGGTCCGGGAAGGATCAGACCATAATGGTATTGTACGCAACCTTACCTTGCATTTCTGCAAGAGGGTATTTTCATGATTCAAACCCATGACCTCCTGGTCATATGGAACTATGGAAGTAACTTTACCAGTTATGCCAATATTCCTTTTCAAAATTATAATCTCCATCAACTATTGAAATTCAGGAGAAATTTAGACGCATTCGAATCAAGGCAATAGGAGGTATAAACGGAACTGAACGTAGACTACTTATTGACATTCACGATAAATGTCATGGGCTACTTTTCTACCGTGCCCCATGACCCCTTGGCTGCGCCCTATGGTGCCCAAGTAAGCCTCTCATCGCCGAGTGTCATGGACGACCCCGTAATTTTGGCTGCGCCAAGCAACAAATGCTCATGTGCCTATATTGCCCCGCCTATAGCCAACGCTTGCGCAAACAGCAGGTGGCGGTGCTTACAAGCGCCCGTTAGCAGGTAGAGCCCTCAGCGCCCGTGCGCTCATGCCCCGCGCACAGCGGGCATTGATTGATGCTATCGACAAGGACTCCACCCTGACAAGTGCCGCCCAATGGACAAGCTTTTTCTTTGTATAATCCTAGGCCCCTTTCCACGTAAATATACATATAATATTTTTACTTTTTATATTTGCATTATAAATTTCTAGCTTATTATGTATACTCCTGTAACTTAAGTTTTTATTTTTAAGACATATATAAGGAAGTATAATCGTTGAAGTTTACTGCAAACAATCAAATCTCTGTATTGGTGTCTCCTCCCCCTTGCACCACATTGTCTTTTTAGTAATTATTACACTACTAGAAACATAGCATCTTCCCACGAAAAAATTATCAGTGATAATTCCCATCGAAATGCAATTGAAAATGAAAAATTCAGTTTCAGAAACATTTCCCATTGACTATTCGTGGGAAATTTTTGGAGGAAAAATGCGCGCCTTTTAGTTCCCTCTGATTCAGTGGGAAAATTCATTAAAAAAATAATTATATAGAACTAAAAAAAATTCCCAAAGAAGATAGTGGGAACTTAAATAATAAATAAAAAATATTTTAAATATTCCCACAGACTCATTGTGTACGAAATGTTTTGCATTTTTAATTTTTTTTATAATTAGGAAAAACATTTCCCACGGAAGTAGTGGGAAACTTATTATTATTAACGTTTATCACTTTTCTCTTAGTCTATTCATTCACATAAGGTTTTAGTATTGTTTTCCCCCTCTGTCGTCTCTCTCACTCCACGCACAGAGAGTTTTCACTCCATTCCCAGGTAAGTCGACCCCTCTTTCTCTCTCTCTCTCACACACTCACTCACCCGATCGATCTCCTCTTTTTGTTTTTGATTTCCCAAAAAACTTCGAGTTTTAGGGATTTTATACTGTTTCAAACCCTAGGTTTAAAAAATTAGTGTTTTTCTCTTGATTTTATAGTGTTTCAACCCACCTAAAAGGGGCTTACAGTCTTCAAGATCCAGCATTGATGTAAACGCCAGTCGGGGCAAAGTTTTCGACCATCATTAACATATTATAACCTGAGTAGTTGTTGATATATTTAGCTTGACATCTAATATTATTGAAAAAGTATGCTATACTGTAAGTCTTTTTATTTTTTTATTTTTTTATTTATGAAATAGATCTCTGCTGTTAGAGTATGTGGTTTTGATATTTGTGTCTTGTGTGTGTTAGTGAATTAAGTGATGGGTGAGGATTTGGTAGAGTAATAATTATTCCTGTTTGTCTTTAATGGAGTACTCATTCCATTGATGATCTTGAAAGTTTGGTAAATGGTTAACTCAAAGGCTTTTTATAAGTCTTCTAATATTGACTATGGTAGGGCCTTCCTTATAGAGTGAAGATTACTTTGAACACATTGAAATTTGCTTAGATGAGTTTCTTGTTTATGTACGATAAATATGTATAGTTTTTCTGTAAGTTCTTAAGCATTTGTAATCACTACTGTTAATCTCTTTTCTGAATGAAGGCGTGTTTTGCTTTCTAGTCACATTTCTCTTACTTCTTTCCTATGAAGGGAAATTAATTGGTTGAAAATGAATAATGTTGTTTCCTGCTGTATGCAGAATTATGGCACTACTTTGGCACTCTTCAAATGGACCTAAAGTTATCACAACAATTATTGCCTAAGTATGACCATCCATAACTTTACTCAAGACCAGTCCCTTATTCACATCCATTTCAAATATCTTAGGTGCTTATGCCTCATTCACTTATCTTATGTTGCTATATAAGTAATTGTTACTTATCATTTGTTGAGATTATTTATTATTTCATTCTTTCATACTTGTATTTTGTATTAGCCATTAGGTAATTAGTTAGTGTTAGTAATTGTACAACTACTATGAATAGGACATTAACTTTGTATTTCTTTTTTTTTTCTATGAGTAACAATAATCAGATTAGCTCCTTCTTTCTAGAAGGTTCATTTCTCTGTCTGCCTCTCTCTCTCTCTGGTTGTGCGATCTGATCTGCCATTAGAGCTCAAACTGAGCTCACCTCTTCCTCTTCGACTATCCCCTAACTTTCACATGGTATCAGAGTGGGATAACAACCTGAAGTCTCATCTCCTTTCGATTTTTCATTCTTCTACTCACAAATTCAGGAATTCACTCGTTTTTGGAAATTAGGGTTCCTGTGTGGAAATCGATCAATTAGTCAGTTATTCCTAGCAATTCATCTTCACCGATAACCATTTCATCCGAGTCAATTCGAATCATGGTCGGAGAAGACGAAGCCCCAACAACCCTAGCGACGAACAAAACCCTAGATTCAATAAGTCCACTATACATGCATCCATCGGAAAGCGCTGGATCTATGCTAGTTCCGATAGCCTTTGACGGAACTGGTTACAAATCATGGAGAAGAGGAATCCTCAGAGCAATCTCCATGAAAAACAAATTAGGGTTTATTACCGGAAAATGTAAGAAGCCAGATTCTGATTCGGCAGACCTTGATCAATGAGAGCGATGCGATGATATGTAACTTAATTGATCTTAAACTCACTGTCTAAGGACCTAGTGACAGTCTGCAATACATCAATGATGATGAAGAGCTTTGGCAAGAGCTAGAAGACATATACGATCAAACTAATGGCGCCAAGTTGTATCAACTACAAAAAGAGATTAATGATCTGAGCCAAGGAAGCCTGGACATCATTAGATATTATACAAAAATTAAGAAGCTTTGGGAAGAACTTAATACCCTGAATGTTCATGCCAAATGTGCTTGTAAATGCACCTGTGGAGCAAGAGAAAACATTCATAAAGCTGAACAAGATAGAAGATTAATTCAGTTCCTAATGGGGCTCAATGAAGTGTATACTATTGTGAGAATGAGTATTCTGATTATGAACCCTCTCCCAACAATAGTTCAAGCCTTCTATATTCTCATTCAAGAGGAGAAACAAAGGGAAGTTAAGCCAAGTAATAGTTTTTCAATGGACTCTGCTGCCTTGAATGTGAGTGGATCAGGAAATGACAACTTCAAAACTAACTACAATCAACAGGGAAACAACAACACCTACCGTGGATATAAGGAAAACCAATTTAACAGCAGATCTAGACCATTCTGTGACTACTGCAAGAGGCCAAGGCACACTAAGGACAAATGCTACAAACTTCATGGATTCCCACAGAGTTCCAGGTTCAATAAGGGAAGAAGAATTGCTGGAAATGTATTTGGATCACCAAATGAAGCTGATGCAGTAAAGGATGATGGAAATAGCCCTCAAGAACAGGAACAGAGTTGATACATGCATAGTCTGACTAAAGAACAATATGGCCAACTACTCACCATTTTGGAAAGCTTTCAAGGAGGAGCAGATAAATCCACAAGCAATTGCATCAATGGAGGAACTGTGAACTTTGCAGGTATTTCAGCATGCTCTACTCATTTTGACTCTAGTGATCATTTGTGTGATAGTTCTAGTTCAAATGCTGACACTTGGATCCTTGATTCTGGAGCCACAAATCACATGACACATAACAAATCAATCCTAACTAATGTTAAAACCTTAGTTTACCCATACCTAGTCACCCTACCAAATGGCTACAAGGTTAAGGTGACACTGATTGGTGATGTAGTCCTAAGTCCAAAATTCAGTCTCAAGAAGGTCCTTTTTGTTCCCAGTTTTAAATTCAATATGATATCAGTCCATTCTTTGACAGTTCATCTTGATTGTATTGTAGTATTCACCAAGTACATTTGTATTCTTCTACAGGGCCCTTCACTGAAGAGGCCACTGGAGATTGGTAAAGCCAAGACTGGTTTGTATCGACACAGTTCAAGAAACTACAACACTGGTTCAACCCTCTCTAATTCTTCTAGTGCATCCATTCCATGTTTTACTAATAATGAGAACAATATAGATTCTGTAGTTAAGACATCTAGCTCACTTCCTTCCTCTCAACTAGTTAGTACAAGTAAACTGGTTTCTACTGTTCCTATTACTTCCATCATGGTTACCCCATCTTATAGTAGTAATAAAAATAGTTGACCTCCACATTCAGATTACTCTGTAAATAGTTCAAGCAATAAAAGTGAGTTGTCTTTGTCTAGTAATTCCTTTACTATAGAATTTTTACCTGATCTTTTGGAGCATAACAGATTAGGAAATGTACCTTTTGTCAAAATGAAGGGGATTTCTTCTATACTTGTTGCCTTTGCACCCAAACAACCTTTTCTTTGTCCTATCTGTCCAATGGCAAGACAAACCAGATTGTCTTTCCCAGAAAGAACAACATTGACTACCAAACCTTTTGAACTGTTACATATTGACTTGTGGGGCCCTTACCATGTTACAACACATAATAAATACAAATACTTTATTACCCTTGTGTATGATTACAGCAGGTCCACATGGACCCACTTATTAAGCTGTAAAAGCAATGCTCTACACACCATTAAGGCCTTTTTTGACATGGTAGAGCAACAATTCAATACCAATATCAAAACTATAAGAACAGACAATGGTCTTGAGTTCACCAGCCAAGAGACCACCTCATTCTTACAATCAAAGGGCATTATACATCAAAGGACATATCCATACACACCTTAACAAAATGGTGTGGTGGAAAGAAAACACAAATATTTGTTAGTAACAGCCACGGCTCTACTTTATCAGTCAAAATTACTCATGTAGTATTGGGGAGAATGTATTCTGACCTCTACCTACCTCATAAACAGACTGCCCTCTTCATCACTCAAAACAAAATGTCCCTTTGAACTGTTGTACCAGAAAAAGCCAAGCTATTCTCATCTCAAAAGCTTTTGTTGTTTGTGATTTCCTACTACTCTCAAAACACACAAAGATAAGTTTGAGCCAAGAACTACTCCCTATGTTTTTGTGGGATATCCCTTTGGGACAAAAGGCTAAAAGGTACTAAATCTGGCCATTAAGAAGATAAATGTTTCAAGAGATGTAGTGTTTCATGAGAATGTATTCCCATTTGCCATGTTCACTGAGTCAAACAAAGTCTTTCCTTCATTTCCTCAAATGAAATCATACCTGTCAAATGATTTGTTTTCTCCTAGTGATATAGGTAGTGTTCCACATTCAGCAAATGATAATGCTCACCATGAAGTGTCACCTGGGAACCAGCCCAGGCATGAGCCCTACTCACCCCCATCTAATCCTTATAATGATAATTCCAGATCTTCTCACTCACCTTTGGGAAGCCAAACATCAGGAAGCTTTCCTGTGGTTGACACTCTAGGAGATACCTCTCCTGATGCACCTCACAACCCAGCTGTTATAATCCAAGATCAAGGAACTTCAATTCCAAATCAGAACAGACCCTCTAGAACTTTGAAAATTCCTACCTATCTTAAAGATTATGAGTGCACTCTTCCCAGACTCCAACAAACTCATCAAAACCAACCAACTTCTCCAAATGATAGCCAAAGTACACAGTCTTTTTCCTGCAACACATCTGCCCCTAAATCTCTTGATAACTTACCCAATGAAACACATTCCACTTGTTAGCATTTGATAGGAACTGGTCCACATGAATGTGAACCTAGCTCATATAAGGAAGCTGCTGTAAAGCCTGCCTGGCAAGCAGCAATGAATCAAGAATTCCAAGCATTGTATGCAAATAAAACCTGGGATCTAGTTCCTCTTCCAATTGGAAAGAATGCAATTGGGTGTAAATGGGTATATAAGATTAAACATAAGGCAGATGGTAGTGTAGAGAGATTTAAAGCTAGATTAGTATTAAGGAGTATACACAACAAGCTGGGATAGATTACACAGAAACATTCTCACATGTAGTAAAAATGACAATTGTTAGGACTTTAATAGCAACATCAGTCAAGAAGGGGTGGCAAGTCTTGCAACTAGATGTAAATAATGCCTTTCTTCATGGGGATCTCCATGAAGAGGTGTATATGGAGATACCACAGGTCTAGTTGTGAACTCACCAGGCTTAGTGTGCAAGTTGAACAAGTCCCTGTATGGGCTCAAACAAGCAAGTAGACAATGGTATGAGAAATTAACTGAAGCCTTGTGTTCAAGGGGTACACTCATTCAATGCTTGATTATTCTTTATTCTATAAAAAGAGTGAAGTCTCAGTAGTGTTTGTAGCTGTGTATGTAGATGATGTTCTTGTTACTGGTACCCATCTGCAAGAGATTGAGTCCCTGAAAACCTTTCTACACAATACCTTTAAGATAAAGGACCTAGGGAGACTTCATTACTTCCTAGGACTAGAAGTTCAATACACAGAGAAAGGGGTCCTGATATCACAAAGAAAATTCACTATTGATCTTTTGAAAGAATTTGGATGTATAGATTGTCCCTCTATGACCTCTCCTATGGATCCCTTTGTGAAATTAAAGGCTGATGAGGGAGCTTCACTACCTGATCCTTCTTATTATAGGAAGTTGATTGGCAAACTTAACTTTCTCACCAACACCAGATTGGATATTGCATATAGTGTACAACATCTCAGTCAATTCATGCAAAGTCCCAGGGAACCCCATTTGAAGGCAACATACCATATCCTAAGATACTTAAAAAGTGATCCATACTTGGGCATCTTCCTCAACAACACTGCAGATTATGGAGTGAAGGCATTCTGTGATTCAGATTGGGCCACCTGCTCCCAATCAAGAAAATTAGTTAGTGGGTACATTGTGCTGTTTGGTACCAGTCCTATTAGCTGGAGGTCTAAGAAGCAGTCTACTGTTTCACTATCATCTGCAGAAGCTGAATATAGGTTAGCTAGAATGGTGGTTAGTGAACTTGTATGGTTGGCAAGACTTCTAAATGAACTTACTATTCCATTTGTCCTTGCCTATCCCCATCTTCTGTGATAGCCAAGCTGCTTTACACATAGCAAGAAACCCTGTGTTTCATGAATGAACAAAACATATCGAAGTGGATTGTCATTTTGTGAAAGATCAACTACAGGAAAGACTAATTTCTCTTCATCATGTTTCTACTAATGACCAGCTAGCTGACATCTTGACCAAGTCTTTTTAACAGGGATCAATCATGCCACACTTCTTAGCAAGTTGGATGTGAGGTCCTCCCCTCCAACTTGAGGGGGGGGGGGTGTTGAGATTATTTATTATTTCATTCTTTCATACTTGTATTTTGTATTAGCCATTAGGTAATTAGTTAGTGTTGAGTAATTGTACAACTACTATGAATAGGACATTAACTTTGTATTTCTTTTTTTTTCCAATGAGTTACAATAATCAGATTAGCTCCTTCTTTCTAGAAGGTTCATTTCTCTGTCTGCTTCTCTCTCTCTGATTGTGCGATCTGATCCACCATTAGAGCTCAAATTGAGCTCACCTCTTCCTCTTCGACTATCCCCTAACTTTCACATCACTACTAAGTTGTTGCTTTGAGGAACTTGAGAAATATTTAAGTATTATTCATGTTATCCTGCTTTGTTCTCAGATAAATATTCTTTTTATAGTCTTTTTGGTTTTCACCTAATTAGAATTATTAGTTTGAGATATAAGCGATATGTATTTGTTAGATAAGTTGTCATTTTTCTTTACATATCGTGGCAGTGTCAATGTGGTTGCAAACTTACATTCTGTCAAATTATTCATTCTTTGACTTAAGCTTTTCATATGAGCTTCTTTTTATTATGTATACTTTCCTCATTTGCCAAAATACTTTAAAACCTTCTCATTACCAGTTATTGTTGAAGTTAGTAAATATCCTGATTTGTCAAGGAGGTAAAGTGATATTGCTTTATCACTTTGACTCCCTATGACAGCTATGACAACCTTTGTTAGATATGATCAAGTTTATAAGGTCATTTATTTATAATTTTGTTTACCGTGAAAATGGTAACAATAATTAAATTTGTAAATGGAATTCTAAAAATACGTGATCTATTTCCGAGCTAGTTGTTAGAGTAGTTGATGCTAATAATATGGAGTTTAAAGATTAAATGCGAGTTGAAATAAGGTAGCAATTGAACCGAAGGGCCTTCAGCCCGGGTATAGGCCGGGCCGAAAGGGGACCTCGGGGTCGAGATCGAACTATCGGGGGTAGTAGGGGATGGGATAATAGTTGAGCATATAATTAAACAAGGCTCTTTATGGACATTACGAAGTTATATGATGAACAACAAGTAAGAAAGCGATGAATATCAAGGTGAACTCGGATAGTGAGAACGAACAAGTTTAGAAAGAAAAGAGAGAAAGATATTATTGCACTTATGGAGAAATGGAGCAACATCATCCCGTTACAAGGTAGCGTGAGTCCCCTTTATATAGGAGGGGAACTCGCTACAAGCACATGGGTATTAATTACAAAGTATGGAGATGGGACGGCTTGACGCGATGCCTCAGCATAGGCTCTGGATAGGCCGCCCCTGTCAGACTTAGCCGTATGCCTTGGGAGCTTCCCCTTCTGTCCTGGCTTCGATCTCCATCTTCTCTGAGTCGGGCCTCGACGAGCCCCGAGGTCGGGAACTCGGCCATAGTTTCCCGTCCTCAGGGTCTCAAGGCATTCCGAAATGACTTGACAACGAGAAATCAAGTCCTCTGATTTTGCTGCGTACAGATAGTCTCTACGTTTCCCATAACAAAGTGATGGGAAATGATTCTGATACTTGACTCCTCGTGCTTCTTACTGCGATGTCATACCGATGGTACGACTCCTAGTGTGAGTTTTATGATAGCTGGGCATCCACGGGCTCATGTATTTTGACCTCATTCAATGCACTCTCGATTCTCGCTTTCTAAGGTGAAGGTATCGCCATCGGTTCGATTTTACATGGATGCATTAACTGCACCCGTCGATCAACCTTCCAAAGCCTCGACGACCGCATCGTAACCCCCTATAAATAGGGGCGCTTTGGCGTTGTTTCTCCCATCCCAGTGCCTTCGTTGGTCTGCTCGCCTATTTCCTCTTATCATCTTCCTTCATCCTTGAATATCACGCTTAGGGCTCATAGCCTCAAGCCCGCTTGGCAGAGCTTCTTTAGATCGTGTTGCATCCCTCTGCCGGCGCTTCCCCTTGTCGAGCATAATTACGCTATCCCGTTACTGCTGCGGTCATCGACGTACTTGTCTTTGCTGCTGTTGTTGACCCGAGATGATGATGGACGGGGAGTCAGTTTCCTCCTCATGTAGATAGTCGTTCGGATTAGGCATCGCTGCTCACCTTCATGCCCCGACTCGACGTGGTTCTCTGCTCCGAGTTGGGGGCTTGCACGTCTAGACGTTCCAATAAGTGGATCCTAAGTAGCCGTGCAAGTGGGATCGAGGGTTGTTCGATCCATTGTCTTTTCAAGGTTCCCCTGGCCAAAGAGGGTCCTCGAGCTTCGGAAAGCTATGGCATTTTTTTATCCTTCCCTGTCACTCACCTTGTCCCTTGGGGATATCAGTGTGGAAGGTTGGGATGAAATTTCTGAGGATGTGCATCTGGAGGCACCTGTCGCGGACCTTCGAAGGCGAACCGGTCTTCGTGCCTTTACTTTGTGTGTGTGTGCCTTTGTCTCTTCTTTTATGTGTAGAGATCCTCCGTAGGCTTTTGTAATAGTATGTAATGACCCCTCGAGAGCTGTTGTACATGGATCTTCATGAATATGAATATACTCCATTGACTTCTGCTTTCGGCCTTTGCTTTGTTATTGCATGCTCCTGTGCCCTTCGAGGCTTTTCGAATGTCTTATTTTATTGTTGACCGCTGACATTTAACTTGGGCGTGAGAGTTCTTTCCGATCCTCTGCCGATCGACATGCCTCTCTTTCGAACCCATCGTCGTGCCTCGGACCAATCCTGGATTGATCTGATAGGCTCGGGCTGCCGGGGACCTTCAAGTTGTTTGGAGATAATACGCCTAATTTCAGGGCCTTCGAGGATGTTATCCTGAATGAAGGTCAGCTTTAGGTACCTGGGGGTCCCTTTTGATTTTGATGTAGACAGCCCCTTTTAGAACGTATATGATAGACTTCTGCTGAGGAGTTGCTTGTATTTGGGCGCTACCTCGGACCATCGTAGAGCTTTCATGATCAGAGCTTGTGTTTATTCCTCTTTTTTTAGAAAGGGAATCATAAGATTAGGTACTGCCCTGCGTCGAGTGATGGTGTCGAAAGCTTCCCGAAATCTGACTTCTCTTTGGCGGGGATCGTCGGGGTAAAGCGCTGCCTCGAAATAGGAGATAATACGGTCAATTCCTTGAGTCTTGGCTTCTTGTCAGAGGATGCTTTTGGGACCGGGTATCACCCCATCGATCTGCATCGAGGATGTAGGTTTCTCGGGGTTCACTCCTGGTAGGCGAGTCGTCGCTGCTTCTCGCATATATGTGGGGCAGCTTCGGCTTCTTCGCAAGACCTCACTATTTTTAGATAGCTGCTCTTCCGCTTTGGAAAAGTGTTGGCGCATGCCCTTGCTCTGATCTGTTAGTTTTATTATTGTCATGGTAAACACTTCGGGGTCGGCCCGACAGGGAGTGCCGCTCCCGACGTTCAGGAACCGCGGGAGTTCGCTCTGAAGATGATGTCTTTGATAAGAGGGGAACATCTGGAGATGGTAAGAAAATACTGTGGATGGATCAAGGGGATAGTGCTGCAGGTGCTTCCCCCGGATGAGAGTATTACAGACTCTGCTGATTGATTCTCGAGCGTATACCTATATCCTTTCTCGTTTGGTCCCCTTGATAGGGTTGTGCTTGATTTTTTCTTGAAGTATCGGGTTACTTTGGCACAGATACACGTTTTGGCGGGTGGTGATGACGACGAGGTTCTTTGCGAAGAAGGCTAGGCTGGAGTTCATGCTTAACCATCTCGTCAGGCTATACCGACCCTTTCATCACCAGTGCCTGCTAACCCTGAGGTGTCTTTCGTCCACGCAGTTTGTAGTTGACAACAAAGAGGATAGGGGTTGAGAGTGGGCCGGTTGGTTTATCCGGGTCTGGACGGTCGACATTATCCCCGTGGAGCTTTTGCCATTTCTCGAAGGGTGGAATTATGCACGTGAGTGGAGCGTCTAGTGCTTTTTCAGATTTTGCTTATAGCAAAAATCAGTTGATTAATAGTGTTTTTTCCCTTGTTGCAGCAACTTCATGGACACCGGGCGAAGTCTTTGACCTGCCCGGCTGGGTCCGAAGGCTGGTGACCCATTCGACCTGCGATGAGCGTCGATGGCGAGTTGTGCTTCGTATTATATGAGGAGAAAAATACCAAGGTTTGTGCGCATGCTGCCTTTACTTTGGCCTTCATATATTTGAGGTAACATTTCCCCCTGTCATTTATACTGGATTCGCCGCTTGCAAATATCGACGGTTCCTTGGGATGAGGCAGTGCTCTTTCGAGGGAAATGAGTCGTCGGCCCTCGAGCCGAGGGACGATGGCGATGAGAGTGATCAGCACCCGCGATGTGATAGAGCTTTTAGTGGTGCTGAACGAGCTCATGTTTTCGAGGAGAAGCCATCGTCCGAGTCTGCTGCTCCCGAAATATCTGATTCCTGGGCGGCGATTCCTCCGAGTGAATACACTTTGCCCGAGGTCAGTTCTTCTGGGGCTGAAGAGGCAGGATCAACAGGTGTGTGTTCTGACTTCGAGGAAGTCCGTCGGCTTCACTTCGTGGTGAGTTTAGGTGCATTTTTTCCTTGTTCCGTGTCCTATTCCCTCTATTGAACTTTTCTTGTGCAGGCTTGCGATAGGCTTATGTTTGAGCTGCTTCGTCAAGGGGCCAGGCTTCAGAAATTTCTGGATGAGGGCGAGCCCCTTAGGCTCCTAGCAAGGAGAAAGATGTTGAGTTGCAGCATTGGTGATATGAGGCGTGGTGGAGCTCGAATTATGAGAGCTATTTGATGGAGCAGGTAACTTTCTGCAACTCTTGCTTTGCTCTCTTTGGCCTTTAAGGTTAACCCCATTTTTGTTATATTAGCTACAGAAAAGACGGAGGCTTTGGAGTACCTCAAGGACGACATCGACCGCATTTGAACTGACTATGGTGAGCTAAAGGCTCAGGTGCAAGCTCAAGATTTAGAGGAGACAAGCGCCTCGGCCAAGGTCCCCGCCTTCAAAGTCCAACTCCGCTTGGCTCGTGATAATGCCAAAGTTCAAACGGATATGATCGGGAAACTCGAATCTGACCTCTCAAAAATTAGGGCTGAGATAATTGATGCCCAGGTTGAAGCGGCACTAAGCCGAACCAAGGCTGATCAGGAGATGGTGATTCGTATGAAAGACGCTGCGGACGCTCAAGCCGAGCGGAAGCGAGCCCTCGACTGGGAGAAGAGGATCGAGGAATATGTTTG